TTCTTTTGCCTATTCTGCAGTTGCACGCGTGTGTTCACCTCATTGGCCTCGCTCGTTCCTCATTTCTTTTGTTCATTTGGCTTATGCGAAGACTAGCCAAGCTTGCTTGGTGATGTCAACACGAACAAGCAGAATAATATATAATACAATTGTTTAACCAATAGTAACGTGGATAAGCGAACTGTCCTTCGCTTAACCACCGCTTGTCTCGGGGTTTGTTGAAAGTTTTAAAATGAGTGTAGGGTTTGCTTGGGGAAAAAGGAGCGCTTACAACATGCTGGAGGCAAGTTACGGAAGTGCTTCACACTAATGTCTTGGGATGAACACAGACAGTATTGTTGCAAAATACATGGGCCTTAATTGTCATTCCCTTCAAAACAGCTGTGTTCAAGGTTCAATTTTCACATACTTACAAAATACCGCCAGCCCATCACGATACAATGGCAATCAGGAACGGAGAAGCCGAACGAGGTATCACCCAATACCGGTATACATTATTATCTCTAATATGCTAACCTGTACAAGAAGAAAAAGAATGCACAGTGCGGCAAAATCTGTGTGACTTCCGGAACACCTCAGATGGCAGGGTGCACACGCGTTATGTGTGTATTTGTTTTGTGTGATGTTTTTGTGTGTACTGTTATATCGTTTACTGTAAAAACCATTATTCTAACGAGGCGCATATATATCGATTTCCCCAAAATTGACTAGTTTACGTGTACCAAAGGTAACGGTTCTCACTCAATAGTACAGTATGTGTATCGATTTCTGTATAACGATTTCTATTATAACGACAGATTTCTCCTCGTTGACTCGTTATAGTTAGCACTTCGTTATATTTGAAACTCGGATGTTGAGCCATAAATAAAATTTAATGTAGAAGAGAAAAGGACATATCGATACGAGTTAAGAGTAACTCTCCATCACTGTAATATGATACTATATACAGTCAGAAAGTGCAATACTAGGCACAAAACTGACTTGCCTTCCCCTCTTTGGTCTTTCCATAACCTTGAACCTTCCAAGTTGGAAGGCTGTCGGTTAGCGCTACGGAGATGTGATGAAGCTAGGTGTCAGGACGTTGAATGTTTCAGTACTCTGTCAGTTTTGTGCCTAGTATTGCACTTTCTGACTGTATAGAGTATCATATTACACTGATGGAGAGTTACTCTTAACTCGTATCGATATGTCCTTTTCACTTCGTTATAATTATATAGTATAATAATTATGTCTTTTACAGTACTTCTCACTACAATGCAGCCGGATATTGACTACATGGGGAGAATTGACTTGACTTGAAGTATCACCAGTACAAGTTTCAAGTTGGTGTCAAGAACAATTCGGAAAGTGATTGCTTTGTGAACCGGGATTTCATTTTATCACAAACAAGACAATGATCTTGTTCGTTCGGTCGCTATCCCGGTTAGAGGCTAACGATGATTAAACCACTGTATTGTTCCTGCAGGCAGTTGTAGGCAGTTGTACAGCCTCTTTTACGGGCAAATTAAAAACAAGACTATTTTCCCAAGTGCTGCACAAAACTTCAACTCAAAATTCTAACACAACGCAAAGAAGGCAAAATCAAAACTACAACAGGAGCATAACATGTACTTCGGTAAGCAGCAGCAGCAAGTTCAACTTCTAAATCAATAATCCAGTCAGTTGTAAGTGGCATCCAGTCGACCATGGGCCTGTAACGCTGGTAAAGAAGCAACACAACAAAGTACTTTTCTGTGAAATAGAAGGTTCCAGGCCGAGCAAAATAGCGTGCTCGATGCACAAAGCCAAAGCTACTAAAAACAGGGAGAGGATGAAGATTGGCTCGTTACAGCGAGTTGAATGCACTAGAGGGATCATGAGAGTTTCAACCTAATCTTTATTCTCTTCTTGTCCCTTGTTTGGCGTAGATTATTGTCCTCGTGGAACCCTCAAGTATGCCGTCTTCCAATGGACAACTCTATTATAATTCCCAGGACTTGCTGAGAGCCCGGCTGTCCATAACCTCAACATACACAATTCTGGCCACAGAACTCGGACCCATGAATGTCGCGGGGGATACGCGGCCTTAGCACCACTTACACCACTCCGCGCACTTGAGGGCGGCGCTACTTGTCTTGATTCCTGGTGTCGGATTTCTCTAGCCAGAGCTGCACAGAACTGTACATGTAGCTGCACAGTCATGTACATGTACATGTATAGTGCTGGCAACTGAAATCCGACCCCTGGGCGGCGCGCCCTGTACATGACTGATTGTACATATTGAGAAAGAATAATGCTGAGTGAGTGATAGGGGTCAACTAGCCAGACTGAATACTTTGAAAGCAAGGAGAGGGGAATTGCTGCAATCTTGGCAAGTTACGTATTGTGCATGTACAGCTGTGCTTAGGACGAAAGGAGAACGCAGAAATCGATTTGTGAACGTGGACTGGGCATCCGCTTGTCTGCAGATGCAAGTGCAAATACACACAAACTGTTTTTGAAAAGTACGTTTCAGACATTTTGGCATGCTCCGTTGCAAAGCGCCACGGAAAGGCTATCGCCCTCTTCTCTTCTGATTAAATGTGCATCAAGGGATTCTGAACTCGCACGCATACCAAAAATATAATTAAATTTCGAGCACTTTCCGTCGTTGAGCAAACCTGATGTAACCGTTAAACGTGCAGTTCCACACAGTCTTCGTCACCATCTGAGTTGTTGGGTTCGCCAGGGAGAAAGATGTTGATAACGGCGAAGTTTCCGTCATTGTCCACGAACTGTCCTTCTTCCTTGATGTCATTGTAACCAACCCAGTACATATCTGTTGCAGTTGATGCGCTTTTAAAACAAGTTCTCCAGGACAATAAATTCCTGTATGTTCCGCGAGGCGGCAAGATCCCCCACCATTACGCTGGCAGCTCTTCCTCGCATCTTGGTAGCTCAGACTTGTTGTCGTATAGCGGAATATGACCAGACGCTCGTGATGAAAACAATGACCCAGCAACTTCTTTAGACTAAAACAGATATCAAGGCAATCGGAAATGCATAGTGTCCTCGTGCGGAACACATAACAGCTTGTCACAAATCATTAGCCAATGCATCTTTACCCTAATTTGCATCAGAAATTGAGTTCATTTCTACGAATCGACGCATCAACTTGTTCTCAATCATTCCATTCCGCTTCAGCGCTAAGCCGGTGAGCGCGATGGCTTTGACACCTGTAAAGAAAGCGCAGAGTTCTACAGCGCCACATATCTCAGCACCGCACCAACTGCAGGATGTTGGACTGTTTCTGTCTTCGCTCGTTGTGGCAATTTGTAACGTACCGGTAGGTACTATTTTCTCTCTGACCATTTAGCGAACTGTCTGCTCATGAACCCGGTATTTTCCTGTTTTTGTTGTGTATCGCTCGATTTTGCAATTTTACTTTTATCTTTTCTTCTTTTTTTGACACAAAAGGACGAACGTAAGCACGTTGGTCGCGATTTTCCCACTGACAGGACTTGACACTTGACGAACTTATGACTGCCTGGCAGAGCACACCAGAGGCCCATCCAATCTTCCACTCGGTAAATCCGCAAGCATACAACACTCCCCGCCGGATATGCAGTGTTTCGGGGAGCTAGGGGGAGTGTGTGAAAGAGCCAACTTTCTTAGCAAAATTATCGCGACGTCCCTACCACTAATTCATACTGTTGTGCCTAGCGCTGGCTTGCGACTACTAGGACATGTACACCTGGTTTGGAGTTGACAGCTTTGCGAATGACTCAGGACTCACACTGCTATCTGGATTCCACGCCGCATTTTTAGCGGTCGAAAATGAGCGCCTCTGTAAATTTGTATGTCCAGTGATGTTTTGGACATGGAGAGCACTGTAAAAAGTAGTACTTATCCTGAACAATCTTTCTCAGCCTGCTCAAGTTTACTGTAAGGGAGAATTCCCGAAATACGGTGGTGGTACATTGTACAAAACAGATTTGGACCCATCCCAAAGAGCCTACATAAGGGTGATATTCATGATAAAAATTGCTTGCGTTCGCAACTTGAAATGTTCGAACAGACAACAGAGGTCACATATTATGTAGACGTTAAATTGCCGTGGTTGGCTTTCACGCCCTACCCTTTGATTGCCAACTACATGCACATACATGTATGATGGGATGTGAGATAAAAATTTATAAGTGGTTGTACTAGCCTGGTTGCACAAAGTATAATGATCATATCATTAGTCAATTGTCAACATACAGTAGTCATAAATGACCTCTTCCGTCACGAAGAACTCGAGGAGGCAACAGTAACTTGCTTATCGTCCCTGCAGCTGCTTCTGCACATTCTACCAAATTAGTGACACATGCCGGCTCAGTTCCCTCCATGCCGATATCCGAGGCGTCACCAAACTGGCCGCCTTCAATTCAAGCGCTTTGCAACACATTCATGCCTGCTTTTAGCTTTACGCCTATGTTTCTATAGCTGTGCTGGAACTGCTCTATTTCGCCGCCACTATTTACCATTAGCCATGTCCCCCCCCCCTCCTCCACCCTACACAGCGGGTCCATTGTTATTAGGCATTTGCCTGTTTGGGTTTCTGAAGCTAATAGGTTCTGCTAGGCAGAGCGGCAGTAGGGCGGCACAACGCAGAAAAAAGGATGAAGAATGCAAAGCAGCTTGGAAAAAAGGCGCGGTGGATTGAAATGGAACACAAAGCAATGAAACGGAAACAGGTGATAGTGACACACCCTGGTGAGATGGGTCATGTGTCAGCAATGGCATAAGAAAAAAAGACAAGGAGAGGAGAATTGCTGCAATCTTGGCAAGTTACGTATTGTGCATGTCCAGCTGTGCTTAGAACGAAAGGAGAACGGAGAAATCGATGGTGAACATGGACTGGGCATCCGCTTGTCCGCATATGCAGGTGCAAATACACACAAACCGTTTTGAAGAGTACGTGTCAGACATTTTGGCATGCTCCGTTGCAATGCGCCACGAAAAGGCTATCGCCCTCTCCTCTTCTGATCAAATGTGCATCAAGGGATTCTGAACTCGCACGCATACCAAAGTATATCCGAGCACTTTAAGTCGTTGAACAAACCTGATGTAGCTTGCATATCCACACAGTCTTCGCCACCATGGTCGTTGTTGGGTTCGTCAGGGAGAAAGTTGTTGATAACGGCGAGGTTTCCGTCATTGTCCACAAACCGTCCTTCCTCCTTGATGTCATTGTAACCAATCCAGTACCCAAGTGTCCCAACTGATGCGCGTAACAAGTTCTCCAGGACAATAAATTCCTGCATGTTCCGCGGGGCGGCAAGATCCCCACCATTACGCTGGCAGCTCTTCCTCGCATCATGGTGGCTCAGACTTGTTGTCGTATAGCGGAATATGACCAGACCATGCTCTGAGTCACCACAACACTCGGCAGAGGTAGGTGGGTCAGTCGCGGATCGAGTTCCTGCTGCCATCGAACTTTCATTCTTGGAGCTGTGTTCATAGGATGGCTCGTACGAATCCTCATCATCTTCATTTTCCCCATTCATGTCTAACCCGTCTTCATAGGAGTCGAGGAAACGCTCCGCGTGACGGAGATTCGACGACGAATGTGAACTGTGATGGCGATTTGACGACGAATGATGCGGGCTGGACGCCACGAGTAGTGACAGTGCACACAGGATTAAGGCCACAGAGATTCGACTCATCTTCACTCCTTGGACTGACGGCAGAATATAATTCACTGCACTGAAAATGACCAGATATTCCCTTTGAGTAAACTTTCAGTTCAGAGCTATTCCTACCAGTAACGTTTATTGATAATGATCCGATAGTACAAGTCGTCGTATCTTATCTTTCTCAATAAGTACGCAGGTACATATCCCACTCTCGGTGATTTCTCCTCTCTTTTATACCCATTTTCGTGCGGCTCGTGATGAAAACCAATGACCCAGCAACTTCTTTAGCCTAAAACAGATATCAAGACAATCGGAAATGCATAGTGTCCTCGTGCGGAACACATAACAGCTTGTCACAAATCATTAGACAATGCATCTTTACCCTAAATTGCATCAGCAGTTGAGTTCATTTCTACGACTCGACGCATCATCTCGCTTTCAACTATTCCATTCCGCTTCAGCGCTAAGCCGTTGAGCGCGATGGCTTTGACACCTTGAAGGAAAGCGCGAAGTTCTACAGCGCCACATATCTCAGCATCTCACCAACTGCAGGATGTTGGACTGTTTCTGTCTTCGCTCGTTCTGGTAATTTGTCACGCAGATACTATTTTCTCTCTGACCACTTAGCGAACTGTCTGCTCATGAACCCGGTATTTTCCTGTTTTTGTTGTGTGTTGCTCGAATTTGAGAATTTTGCTTTTATCTTTTCTTCTTTTTTTTACACAAAAGGACGAACGTAAGCACGTTGGTCGCGATTTTCCCACCGACAGGACTTGACACTTGACGAACACATGACTGCCTTGCAGAGCACATCAGAGGCCCATCGAATCTTCCGCTCAGCAAATCCGCCGGAGATTCAGTGTTCCGGGGATCTAGAGTAGTGTGTGGAAGAGCCAACTCCCTTAGCAAATAGTTCTCGCAACGTCCCTACCACTAATTCATACTGTTGTGCCTAGCGCTGGCTTGCGACTACATGATGTACATGTACCTGGTTTGGAGTTGACAGCTTTGCGAATGACCCAGGGGTCGCAACCTCTGTTCTATCTATCCGTAAAGAACACTGACTCACACTGCTACCTGGATTTCACGCGGCATTTTTAGCGGTGGAAAATGAGCGCCTCTGTAAATTTGTATTTCCAGTGATGTTTTGGACATTGAGAGCACTGTAAAAAGTAGTACTTATCCTGAACAATCTTTCTCAGCCTACTCAAGTTTACTGTAAGGGAGAATTCTGGAAATAAGGTGGTGGTACATTGTACAAAACAGATTTTGACCCATCCCAAAGACCCTACATAAGGGTAATATTCATGATTTAAAAAAATGCTTGCGTTCGCAATCTGAAATGTTCGAACAGACAACAGAGGTCACATATTATGTAGACGTTAAGTTGCCGTGGTTGGCTTTCACGCCCTCCCCTTTGATTGCCAACTACATACTGTTAGGTACCACCTCCCGTACCTTTTCTAGCTGGCCTGCACGCACTTACGTACTCACCTTTTGTCTCCTTTTGTTCCGTTGGCCTGGGTAGCTACTTGCGCGCCCATATTTGCCATAGCTACCCAGGCCCTTTATCTTGCAGTTCACACTCTCTCTCTTTTCTCACTCTTCAATGTAGTCGTTTCGTTCGTCTTGGTCTCTTGTCTCGTCGTCTATAATAAATGTCGTTCCCCAACCTACCTGTTCCCGTTGTAATGTCTGGATATGTCGTCAGTCGTCCTGTTTCGAATTCAACAATACGATGGCATGTGGGATAATTATAATAGTTTCCGGATTTTTCTGGTTGCACTAAGTACATGTGATTGTATACTGATCATATCATTAGTCAATTGTCAACCTAGTCATAAATGTCACCCAGCTGATGCGTTCTTTTCTTCCGATAATTATGCCCTTCCGTTTTTCATTCGTTCTTTTACTTCTCTTGCCATATAGGTGGCTAACGCCCCCTTCTTTTCATTGGCTTCTGTCATTGTACGGTGAAATAAAATAAAATAAATAAATACAAATTATACATGTACATGTAAACGTCACGACATGTCGCCACATGACGCCGAGACCTCTGGCCGCCTGAGGCCCCACCCCCACCGCTCCTTGATTCACTTCAGTGTAGGCATTAGCGGATAATGCTCGAAAAGGTGGCCGATTCTACTCGAACAGCAGTGAAATTGGCAGAACCATACAAACCTTATGGCGGGCAATTCCTCGAATTCTGCTCCATTTCTTTATCCACAAACCAAACATGCATGAAACTTACCAGAAAATTACGGAATTCTGCCAATTTTTCTGTCGGCATTGTCCGCATATGCCAACTAACGTGTTACTTCAGTGTCGGGCGATATGTGGCCAGTGTATAAAAGGAAGATACATGTACAATCACGCACCATTTTGTGGTACTAGTAGCTAGTCAGGACGTTCCTGAACACGTCACGTGATGCGGCCGCGAATCCGGCTAACTTTACTTCTTTATTTTTTTTGTCAGGACGTTTAGTTTGGTGGCTTAGCAAATTCAATACTACATGTAGGTAATTGTTGATGCACAGGATGTCGGCTTAGGCAGCAGTAACCGGCAGGTATTGAGATGCACAACAAATTATAATGTGCTGCATGAGTAAATAGCGGACTTCAGCATTCGGTAACCATAAGCCATCTTAGAGAGAAAAGGCGAGTCGCGTGAACACTATGTCAGCTGTTCCACCTTTACAAGACGTTGCGCTGTACTGTATCGCCCTGCAATATTCGGCGCCGTCCCGTTCAGGTTTGTCTTCTGGCGCATGACTTACATGTACATGTCATGTACCTTTCCTCAACCTCTTGGCTCTGAGCGCATCAGCGCTGATACGTCTGACAATTTGTTAGGTTGTCATTGTCGTCAAGCGATTACTAGTTATTTTAATTGGTCAGTCCATTATTCATAATTATATAATTAATTGCCTTGTCTTCGTCTTCGATATTGTAGTGAAAATCATTGGACCCTTGCCAGATTATTGGGTCTTCCTTGTATCGTGTAGCCAATAATGCGCAGACTGCCAGCTTCGCAACCCTGATAGTGTTAACGTTACATGTACATGTACATGCAGCGATAAGTCTCTTCAAAGAAAAGGTGGTTTGGACTTGGTGTACAGGTAAGGGTAAAGGAGCGTGGAGCTTGCAGTCCTCGTAGTAGTTGGGCAAAGGCACGAGATGGATCAAGGACGTATCAGTTTACAATGTTCAAACACAACACTTGTCAAGAGTGCTTCCGCATGAGTCCATTTTGACTTAATCACTGTAATGTTACATTTGTGTAATAAGTTGTACGATTACGATATGCCTGGGGCATATCACGGATGTACTTCATGGAATTTTAATTTTTCGCATGCCCAGTGTGTGTGTGTGTGTGTGTGTGTGTGTGTGTGTGTGTGTGTGTGTGTGTGTGTGTGTGTGTGTGTGTGTGTGTGTGTGTGTGTGTGTGTGTGTGTGTGTGTGCGTATTAATCTATGTACATCTACATGTATGTGTGTACCTGTGTGTACGTGAGGATCTACGCGGATAATGAGGTGTCCAGTATGGTATAATCTGGCGGCGCGGTCGGGTAATGATTCCCGGAGGACATTCTTGTTACTTTACGTGTGACTATATTTGTGATTTTATTATCACTTGGACCACACACAAAGCACAGAGTTCTCTTACTCCTCCCAGCTATGATACCGTTGAGTAACTTACGATAACTCAACCCTGTCGTTCTCTTCACCAGGCGAGACCACACGATGCTTGCAAACACCATCACGAACAGTTCAAGAGCCATCTCTCTCTATTCGGATTTTTGGAAATTGACAAGTGGAATTATTGCGAGTCCACAAATTTTCGGCGCGTTTAAACTTCGGCCTCCCAGGGCTAAAACACATTTTCGGCCGCATTAAAATTTCAGCCTGTGCTGCTACTGCTGCTGCTGCTGTCTGTATACAATGTCACATTGAACACGGCATATGAACGTGGGTTTCCAAAATCGGTGTTTGGGCAATGTCGCGATACAGTGGGTTGCGGGATGGATCGGGAAATAGTTGGTTTGATTATGATTATTTGTCACCAGTACTACTACCGCTCTAACTTGGTTTTGGTTCTCAATACAATTGTATAACCAATGGTATTACCGTAACGTGGATAAGTGAACTATCCTTTACTTAACCACCGCTTGACTCGGGGTTCTAAAATGAGTGTAGGGTTTGCTTGGGGAAAAGGAGCGCTTACAACATGCCGGAGGAAAGTCACGGAAGTGCTTCACACTAATGTCTTGGGATGAACACAGACATTATTGTTGCAAAAAACATGTGCCTTAATTGTCATTCCCTCCAAAACAGCTGTGTTCAAGGTTTAATTTTCACATAATTTCACAATACCGCCAGCCCATCACGATCCAATGGCAATCTGGAACGGAGAAGCGGAACGAGGTATCACACAAAATAATAGTATTATCTCTAATACGCTAACCAGCAGAAGAAGAAAGTATGGTGTGTCATGTACAGGTAGTTGCGTTGTGATGTATGGTAATTTGTAGGGCGAATGTCGAGTAGGCTATGAAAATAACGATTCGACAAGAACAAGTGACTACGAGAGGTTGGCAAGGTTGGCGATCGTCCACCCCCGGCCCTTTAGAGGCCGGAATGGCGAGTTCAAATCTTGATTTTAAGGACGTCCAACTATCCTCGCTGGGTGGCCGATCGCCCACCAAGTGCTCTACAACAGGTTCACCAAACAGTTTTAATACAACGGCCAGTCGCGCCATGTTCGCTCCCTTCGCCTTAGCCATAGGACATAGCTTGAGTTCAGCGCTGCTTGGCGACAATTCCTCCGCAAGAGCCTGCGCTGTTCCTTAGTGCAGCGCAAGGATCTCGCGAAGGAATCCAAGCTGGTGGATATGGCGCCTCTCGCTCCCACCTCTGCTGTGTGACTTTCCGTCTCCCAGCCATTCCTTACACACGCGTTATGAAGGTGACGATAGCGTTCGATTTTGATTTCGCGCGATTGTGCAAAGCGATCTTCACTACATACCGTGAGTTCCAGCCACAGAACTCTTCTCAATTCTTTGGAGAAGAGCACTATGTCTGGACGACAGGTTGTAGGTGCTATGAAGTGGGGGAAAACAAGTTTCTCATCCTTCATGTCCACCAGGACCTGCCAGTCTGCTGAGCTAGTTACGAATTGGTCATTTAGCCGTTTGCGTTGGGAGGGGGGCTGTTTGGGGAGATTCTCTCCTGCCTTGCAGAAAGTTATGTAATCAATTCTCTTCTGTTTACTCTGCGTTTCTGCTGATGCCGTGGCCTTTTGATAAGTTTGGATGGTTTCGTTTACTAGTTTTACTATGCATTTCAGTACGTTGTCGTGGCGCCAGGTATATCTGCCCTGGTGGAGGGCTGTTGGACATGCTGATAATATGTGACGGAGCGTAGCTTGCCTGTTGCATAGAGGGCATTGTTGTTCGACCACAGAGTTACCCCACCTCCTCAGATTGTCAACTGTTGGTAGTGTGTTTAATACACAGTTTAGTAAGAAGAAGGGAAATGCTCACCATCAAATGGTGGATAAAAACCGTTTCGACTGCTTTTTAGACAGTAACGGGTAAAGAAAAAAGGAAAAAGAAACTCATATAATGCAATTCGAAGAGATAGGCCCCCAGTACAGTTGGGGTGTGGTTGTGTCCGTATGGTATGGTGTGTCATGTACAGGTAGTTGCGTTGTGATGTATGGTAATTTGTAGGGCGAATGTCGAGTAGGCTATGAAAATAACGATTCGACAAGAACAAGTGACTACGAGAGGTTGGCAAGGTTGGCGATCGTCCACCCCCGGCCCTTTAGAGGCCGGAATGGCGAGTTCAAATCTTGATTTTAAGGACGTCCAACTATCCTCGCTGGGTGGCCGATCGCCCACCAAGTGCTCTACAACAGGTTCACCAAACAGTTTTAATACAACGGCCAGTCGCGCCATGTTCGCTCCCTTCGCCTTAGCCATAGGACATAGCTTGAGTTCAGCGCTGCTTGGCGACAATTCCTCCGCAAGAGCCTGCGCTGTTCCTTAGTGCAGCGCAAGGATCTCGCGAAGGAATCCAAGCTGGTGGATATGGCGCCTCTCGCTCCCACCTCTGCTGTGTGACTTTCCGTCTCCCAGCCATTCCTTACACACGCGTTATGAAGGTGACGATAGCGTTCGATTTTGATTTCGCGCGATTGTGCAAAGCGATCTTCACTACATACCGTGAGTTCCAGCCACAGAACTCTTCTCAATTCTTTGGAGAAGAGCACTATGTCTGGACGACAGGTTGTAGGTGCTATGAAGTGGGGGAAAACAAGTTTCTCATCCTTCATGTCCACCAGGACCTTCCAGTCTGCTGAGCTAGTTACGAATTGGTCATTTAGCCGTTTGCGTTGGGAGGGGGGCTGTTTGGGGAGATTCTCTCCTGCCTTGCAGAAAGTTATGTAATCAATTCTCTTCTGATTACTCTGCGTTTCTGCTGATGCCGTGGCCTTTTGATAAGTTTGTATGGTTTCGTTTACTAGTTTTACTATGCATTTCAGTACGTTGTCGTGGCGCCAGGTATATCTGCCCTGGTGGAGGGCTGTTGGACATGCTGATAATATGTGACGGAGCGTAGCTTGCCTGTTGCATAGAGGGCATTGTTGTTCGACCACAGAGTTACCCCACCTCCTCAGATTGTCAACTGTTGGTAGTGTGTTTAATACACAGTTTAGTTGAAAGGAAAAAGTTCTCCCGTAGCCTTCGTACAACAGTTTTTTCCAAGTGAGGTCTTCAAACATCGTGTCTCTCCACTTTAACCAGCTGCCTTGCATTTGCAGGCTTTTGAGGTGGGATAGCTGGTCTTGGCAGTCACCTTCATGAATGGTATTGAGTATTTGTTTTCTAGGTTTGATTTTCTCTTGTTTGTCATGCCTAAAGCCGAGTCCTGCCCTGCCTTGCTGGAGGTTAGTTGGACTAGCTTCAGAGATCGCTGCCTCGGCACATTCCATTTCTTTTATTGCGGAGTATTGTCTTGTGAGCAGATACTGTTGTTTGCTGTGATGTTGGTACAGGTTTGCCATGTTCTTGTCGCTGCTGTTCTTGATGATATTCCATCTAATGACCTGTCGTTGCTTCCATAGCGTAGGGATGTACGTTAAACGTAGGCCGAAGCGCTCCCGAGCGCCGATGAAGAGTATTGCTGGTGCTGCGGGTCTGGGCAAGCCTGCCCATTTCTTTAAGAATGGAAGGCAGATTCTGTGTAGGAGTTTGGCGAAACTGTGGCTGAGATCAAGTATCTCGAGCTGCCATGCTATTTTGGGGATGATTTGATGCTGGTAGAGCCACAACTTCTGGTGTCCGTATAGTCTGGTCTCGGCAACTGTCTTTAGTAGGCATCTTGTGGAGTTTATGAGGTCTTCGCGTTGCGTTATCTCACCTACTGTATCTGTTAGCATCCTGCCTAGAAACTTGAATTGTTGGCCGTTTAGAGCTGGTATTGGAGTTTCCGATATTCTGAGTGCGGGGTCAAAGCAGGTGTATTTGTTGTTGGTCAATTTGGCTGCGTACGACCTGCATTTGTGCGGGGCCGCCTGCATTTTTGACCAGGCAAGGAAACTATCAACCAGATCTAACTTCTTCTGCGCACCATGAGTTCGATTGCTGAAGACTGCTAAATCGTCTGAGTGAGTGGTCTTTTAATGAATGCTGTCAGACGCTCATAGTAAGAGTAAATAAGGTTCCTGATTTTCAGCGGGATGTGGTAGCGTTGCAGTGCCCTCTGGATCAGGTTGTGTTTTACTGAGCCAAAGGCGTTCTTTAAATCGATCCATACCATGGCAATCGAACGCTTGTGGCGTTTGGCGTCTTTCATGGCCTCGTGACAAAGAGTGGCGTGTTCAATACAACCGGACATACCCGGCAAGAAACCTTTCTGGGTCATGCCGTCAAAATACCCATTCGTCAGCATGTGGCGAGTCAGAACTTTTGACAACATGGCAAAGAAAATCTTGCCGTCACAGTTGGATAGGGCAATTGGGCGAAATTTCGCCGGGTCAGAGTCATTGTCACTTTTTGCGAGAAGCTGCCAAGACAGCGGAATGGATCCTGTCTTCCAGACTTTCTCGAAGATATTGAAAAGAATGCCGTGCAGACATTTGCACTTTTTCCACACTATGTATGGAATACCGTTTGGACCGGCTGCAGATTTGTTTCTACATTTTTTCAGAGTGTTCTGGAAGGCTTTCCAACTGGGGCTGTTATCAGATAGTGGTGTGGACGGTTTACTCGTAGCTGGACAGAAATCTGGATCCGAGAAAATTTGCTCACGAGAGGGATCTTCATAAAGTTTGGAGAAATACTCAAAGCAGGCCTGTTCCGAGAAAGTTGGTGTCACACGTGATCTGCTTTGGGACATGCGTTTTGCAAACCCGTAAGGGTCCTTAAGAAAGGCCGTCCGCTGTTTCTGCGCTTCACGGTCTTGCTCTTGTATTTGGATGATCTTTCTCAGTTTCTTGATGTCTTTTTGCACACGGTTGTAGTCTGATCTGATGGTCTCAACCTCATGGACGGCAAGCCTATCTCTCCTTCGATATTGCTTACGCAGTGCACGGCGTTTGATGTAGAGCTCAGTTAGGCATTTGGACTGACGTGGCTTCTTCGACCTTCGCTCTGGGGTGGGTTCAGAGATGGTGTGGTCGAGGAAGAAGAATCTGAGGAACGAGGTAATCTGATCAAGTGAATCGTCTGGATCGTTTTTTCGTATTTTTGACAATGGAAACAGGCGTGTGATATGTTGTTCTAGTTGTGTGTTTGTTTTTTCCCAGGCCGGGCTTGACCTGGGAAGATTGAGCTTGCTACTGTCCTGCTCTGGGCTTTTGTGGTCTAGCACATTCTGGGAGCCATGCTCCAACTTCTCTTCTTCGTCGCCATCAGCACTGTGCTGGGATTGCGGGCTGATTGCAGTGGCAACGACCGTCTTACTACTCCTGGTTGGAGTGAGCGGTTCATCGACGACCTTGGCCTGAAAAGCCCGGCAAGATTTCAGATGTCGAGCCATGTTTGAACTAGATATAGGTTTTGCACAATGTAGACATGGCTTTGTGTTGGTTGTACTCGAAGTAGGAAGAAGAAGAAGAAGAAGAAGAAGAAGAAGAAGAAGAAGGAAGGGAAAGTAATTCGCACCAATAAAACTGGTGGGTAAAAAAACCGTCTCGACTGTTTTTTAGGCAGTGACGGAGAAAGTAAAAGGAGAAAAGAAAAAGAAAAAAGGAAGCGGATGCCACTGTGGGCCAATGCCTGAGGTTGAGCAAAAACGGTGAAGGCTAAAAACCTCTTCAGAGCGGGAGCAGGCCAGTGCTCAGCGTAGTGCAATATGGACGGGACTCTTGTAGTGAAGTTGTGGACGAGACTGTTGTAGTGAAGTTGTGTTGTGGCGTCTTGCAGCTAAACAGCAGCTTGGTGCAGCGAAAGCATACAGCGAATGGCAGCACGCAGTGTTGTGGCTTTGTGCAATAGTAGCTCTATGCGACGAAAGCATCTACTGATAGACTCGCTCCAGCGCGGCGCAGGACAAGCAAGTAAACTAGAAAAACGAAAAAAAACTAACGAAAGCTCGACTTGGTTGGCGAACACCCACCCCCGGCCCTTTAGAAGCCGGTGTGGCGAGTTAAAACCAAGATTTGAAGGGTACCCAACTATCCTCGCTGGGTGGCTGTCCGCCAACCAAGTGCCAACAAACGGCCTCTCGGGGACTTTTAAAACAGTGGCCAGTCGCGCCAAGCCTTCTCACGTCGCCTCAGCCAGATAACGTAGCTGGAATTTAGTGCTGCGTTTCTGCAGTTCCTTCTTATTTGGCGCTGTTTTTCCTTACAACAGCCTAATGCCCGTGCCAAGCCGTCCAGGCTGCTGGAAATGGCTCCTCTAGCTCCCACCTCTGCTGTGAGGGCCTCGACTTCCCAGCCATTCTTCACACACTCCTGTTTGAGGTGGCGATACCGTGACAGCTTCTTCTCCCTGGACTGGATGATGCGGTCTTCGCTACACACCGTGAGTTCCAGCCAAAGAACCCTTCTCAATTTCTTCGAGAAGAGAACTATGTCTGGACGACACGTGGTAGGTGCAATAAAGTGTGGGAATACCAGCCTCTCGTCCAGATCTGAAAGAAGCTGCCAATCATGTGATCCTGACAAAAAACCATCGCTCAGACCTTTCCGCTGAGGCAACTGGCCATGGGGGATGTTTTGACCCGGTTTACAGAAGGTAATGTATGTACCATTAGTGGGAGTTTGCTCGGTATTTGACGACTTTTGCTTTGCTGATACTATTTCTGTCATGAATTTACTGATCTGTTTCAGGACGTTGTCATGGCGCCACGTGTACCTTCCTTGATGGAGTGAGGAAGGGCAGGCGGTGAGAATGTGCCTCAGTGTTGATGTCCGCTGACAAAGAGGGCAATTCTGGTCCACAACAGAGTTGCCCCATCGTCTCAGATTGTCAGGCGAAGGCAGAGTATTAAGTATCGCGTTCATTTGGAACGATATCGTCCTTCCATAGCCCTCGTATAAGAGTTTCCGCCATGTCATGTCCTCGAACATTGTGTCTGCCCATTTGGTCCAGGCCCCTTGCATTTGTAGGCCCTTTAGGTGCCGGAGCTGCTCCTGGCAGTCGCCTTCTCTGACTGTATTGAGGATTTGTTTCCTTGGTTTTACCACGCGTGCTTTTGGTGTCACAAAGCCCAGTCCGGCTCTGGGCGGTCGCGAAGCAGGCGTGTCCCATACGGCCGTTTCGGCACATTCCAATTCCACAACCGGCGAGAACCTACGGGTGAACGTTTGTTCTTGTTTTCTGTGATGGCAATACAGTTGAGCGATGTTGTGGTCTTTGCTGTGCTTGATAATGTGCCATTTAATAGTTTGCTGCTGCTTCCATAGTGTTGTGATACACATGAGCCGGAGGCCTGGCCTTTCTCGATTTCCGGTGAAGAGGATGGCGGTGTTTGCAGCCTTGGGTAGGCCTGCCCACTTTTTAATAAAGGAGAGGCTGATGTGATGAAGCATTTTTGCAAAACTGTAACACAGGTCAAGTATCTCTAGGTGCCATGATATTTTCGGGATGATCAGATGTTGATAGAGCCAGAGTTTCTGGTGACCGACAAGGTGGGTTTCATGCACCAGTTTTAAGAGGTATCTTGTAAGGTCAACGAGATCTTTGCGTTGTTCCTCCTCTTTCATATTGTCCGTCAAATTTCTCCCCAGAAATTTGAATTGCCGACCATTTAGCGGCGGTACATCCTTGCCGGATATTGTAAGGCCGGGGTCGAAACAGGTGTACTTGTTGTTGATTAGTTTCGCCGCGTAGGTCCTGCATTTATGCGGGGCAGCTTTCATTTGAGACCAGGACAAAAACTTGTCCACAACATCTAGCTTCTTTTGTGCGCCATGGGTTCTGTTACTAAAAACGGCTAAATCATCTGCGAAACCAGTGTTAGAAGCAGTGATATCCGTCTGCTTGAAATTGTATGAAAGTGCCTGTAGAAGAAGAAGAAGAAGAAGAAGAAGAAGAAGAAGAAGAAGAAGAAGAAGAAGAAGAAGAAGAAGAAGAAGAAGAAGAAGAAGAAGAAGAAGAAGAAGAAGAAGAAGAAGAAGAAGAAGAAGAAGAAGAAGAAGAAGAAGAAGAAGAAGAAGAAGAAGAAGAAGAAGAAGAAGAAGAAGAAGAAGAAGAAGAAGAAGAAGAAGAAGAAGAAGAAGAAGAAGAAGAAGAAGAAGAAGAAGAAGAAGAAGAAGAAGAAGAAGAAGAAGAAGAAGAAGAAGAAGAAGAAGAAGAAGAAGAAGAAGAAGAAGAAGAAGAAGAAGAAGAAGAAGAAGAAGAAGAAGAAGAAGAAGAAGAAGAAGAAGAAGAAGAAGAAGAAGAAGAAGAAGAAGAAGAATGCACAGTCCAGCAAAATCTGTGTGACGTCCGGAACACGTCAGATGGCTGGGTGCACCACGCATCATGTGTGTATTTTCGTATGTGATGTGTTTTGTGTGCTAACCGTTTACGTCTCACTGTACTGTAGCCAGACATTGACTGCTTGGGGGGATTTGACTTGACTTGAATTATCACAAGTACAAGCTTCAAGTTAGTGTCAAGACTTTTTAAACATGTGTTCATCATATTGTGAGAGCCTAAACATTTTCATCATATTGTGAGAGCCGTGGGCCAATAGCCCCGGTGAGAAGGCAGTCTTGCCTGTTCATATGGTGAAGTAAATAAAGAAACAACAACAACAACAACAAGACTTATTATTATACGCTTGTCCGCGTTGACATCACAAAACAAGCTTGGCTAGTCTTTTCGCATAAGCCACATGAACAAAAGAAATGAGAAACGAGCTGCTGCTGCTCAACCGACCTTTGTGGTCTCTACAGAAGGTACTGTAGCCAGTAAAGCCGGAAGAATGTCTTCACTTGCTGTCGTTCATCTGGCACTACATGTACATATTGTATACCTGTATGTGCGATGTAGTTCCTGGACCTGATTAGGGTCTGATCTTCTCGCCAAAATAATAATTGGCCTTTGGTTATGCCACTCCGGCGCCACATGCGTACATGACTACATGTACATGTACGTGTAGTTATCCTTTACCATAACCGCTGTCAACGTCAAATTTTGTGGCCATCCGCATCATGATTTTCAGAAATGGAGCGAAGCCAAACTCCGATGCCGCTAGGAGACGCATCAGCCTCGAGAGGGACAAGAGCTCCCTTCAATGCCTGTTCCAGTTACTTCCGGGATGCTTCACCATGCTGAGAAAGAACAGACCCAAGCGTGTGTTGGTGTGTGGATCCTATGAAAAACTGGATCCAAAAGTCAGTCAGTGAGACAGTGACCCTGTGTCATCATGACCAGATGACTGAGTTCTGGCTGTGACGTTGCCGATAATCCTGAACGAGAGAGACTGAGAGAGAGATACGGTAAGAGAGAGCATTACCTGTCTGGCCGCGCCAGTACGGCAGTAGGACTGTCTCTCAGTCTCGCTCTCTGGCTCTCCGGATTTGCACTCAGTCACAGTGTCAGCTAGTATCCTAGCGACGAACATGTCTCCCAGGTTACCGACGGGTGCATGCACGTAAAGAGTCAGTCAAAGACTAGATCTACGATCGAGTGGTTGATCGAGTGCCTACTACTGCGGCTGCATCACGTGCCGAGAGTAGAAGCTGTCAAGTGACCATGGTGACAGGCTACATTTTTTTGTTGGTGGTTCGCGTGCAGGATCTAGGATCTCACATCCTACATACATTACCATGATTATTCATGATTACAGTCATGTACTTGGCAGGTGCTGCTGGCGGAGGGTTTGATTTTGTTCATGCCAAGCGCTAGCGCAGCATGCATGCAAGGACAAGATGAGATATTTTTGAAGAGGAGGTCGACCTGACGACCTAGCTGGGTAGCCGTCCTATCCACTGCCTGTACTGGTGTCGTAGTGAAGGACAGCACCACTGGCATGTACGTACATAAACCTAAAACTACAGTCGGAGCGCAATATCCCGCCAGCTAGCTGTCAACTGGCGTTCAAAAATATTCCAGAAATTGTGCCAGGAGACCCAATTGATTTTGTTCTCAGTATAGAGAAGAGAGCACTTCGCCGAGCCGCTGGAGAGAGTAGTAACAGATTTCCTGCAGCTGATGCAACATGATGGGCTCATTGCCACTGGGCTGAAGGAGAAGGACTTAGTCTGCATGCAGTGTTCGCTATGAGTCATCGGAAGGAAAAGCACTCGCTGGCTTACGAGCAGCCGCCGCGCACTCGGCACGGTCATAACACTGCTGCTGCAGCAGGCGGTGCGGCAACAGCAGTTTCGCCGACACCAGTGTCTCCGCCCGGAGTCAATGGGCAGCTCCTCACCGAAGATGAGTTCTGGAGAACAAAGGTATGCATGCAGTGCTCGCTCTACTATTATGTTTAGACTGTAAGGAACTTTACTGTGCTTTTGCTGAAAATTATTTTAAATTTTGTTCCCCGGATTTTTTTTACAATGCGTCAGTGACTTGCTTCCAGGCTTCCAGTACTACTGGGCGCCGAAGAACGTGGCGCCGAAGAACGACCAGGCTAGAATTTCACCAAGCACTGCATATCATAAATATACACGGTGACTCCCCATGCGTATAGAAAGCTGTAGAATGTGTCATGAAAATAAGAACGGGAACGGGCTAGGAGAGTGACCCCCCCCCCCATTTTGCAGCACCCGACAGTACTGTACTGTAAGACAAAGTAATGTTTTTCTAATTGTCCGCAAACTCCAACGCAGCCACATACACATTTAAACTTCACTTCTCAACTCCAAGAACGGTCTCTTCACTGCGATTCAAACCAAAATTTAAATTATCATTACACCGAATTTTCAGGCCTGGCCCATCATAAGGGTACTGTAATTTCACAAATTTTCGGTGTACAGTAAAACCTGTAACTAACGACCACCGTGACTAGCGACCGGCCTGGTACTACCGACCACTTTGTCAGGCACGGACGGTCTCACATTCAAAATGCACTATGACTAGCGACTACCTGCTGAACGCGACCAGCGACCACCTTTTCTTGTCCCAATGTCGAATTTTGACCCGTAACTAGCGACCGCGATGTAGCAAATCAAACGTTGCTTGAAGCTCCTTCTCGAAATTTTGATGATTTTCCATGGTCGTTTCGATACTACAGCTGGACAAATGAGCACAGTCTCATTTTTACTGTGGAATCAGTGTGGACTGCACTACACCTGTCATAATTTCAAGTGCTGTCAAGAACAAACATGATAGGAAACGTCTTGGAGAGCGCATCCAAAGCGCTCTTTGATCGATGTTACTACTCGAAGGAGAAACTAAGGCTGAGCGGCTCTCTGTCGAAGTGCAATCACACAGCTCAGTCACCAGGTCACACTGACAGTCTGTGCTGGCTAGCTAGCATGCTACGGTACTCACCTGTACGGAACACAGGCCAGGATACGATGGCGGATAATAGTCTACAGTGAAGGTGCGAAAACTCGCAACATCGCCGCATCACGTACTGGTACACACCAGTACAGTTTACGCTACACTACATCCAAGTCGGAGCGACTGAGTTTCCACTGTAGATCTACACACTGATACCAGTTGCCAGTGTAGTCGCACACAGATGAGGATGGAGTCGATAGTGACTAGTCCACTGCCTGGCCAGGCCAGCCCTGCTCTGAAAACCCAGCGAGTCGACATACGTGTCAAAAGGTGTATCGCTTCCGGTGTATAAAAAACTTGATTCTCTCTACACACTGATACCAGTTGCCAGTGTAGTCGCACACAGATGAGGATGGAGTCGATAGTGACTAGTCCACTGCCTGGCCAGGCCAGCCCTGCTCTGAAAACCCAGCGAGTCGACATACGTGTCAAAAGGTGTATCGCTTCCGGTGTATAAAAAACTTGATTCTCTCTCTCCAAGTGTTGTATGATCTGAAAGAAGAATGTCAGTGCGCAAGTGGTGGGGGATTGTATTATCTGCATTTTGACATACGTATCATATAACGGGATCCATATATGGTCGCGCGGTGCAAACCTCTAACTAAAGACCACCTGCCACTAATGACCACTTTTCCGGGCACCAAGGGCCTAGGGGTGGTCGTTAGTTACAGGGTTTACTATACTTTTGTTTTCGGTACTTTCGGTGCGTCTGTTTCATACCTAAAATTTCAATACACCGAACAAACACTAACACACATAATCCAATAGGGAACTGCTTCTCTGTACCGAACATTTCTGTTCACCTAACCTGGCCTTTTGCCCTCATACCGAAAATAGTGAGCACCGAAAATTTCTGAAATTAGAGTAATGAATGACAAAAACATCCATTGCATAGGTAGTTATTGAACTACATGTATGAAGACAACAACTATTGACACTGAGAAAGTTAACACGTTGGTGTGAATATGTTAGTTGAAGAATAGGAAGGAGGTAAGTGTAGGTGGTGTATGTCTCAGCGGTAAGGTGTGTTTGTGTGGGGGGGGGGGGGGCTTCAATAGAATAGAATCTCAGTGGACAGATGTGAAGACAGAGTGATACATTGTGTACCTACCTACAGTTAGAACAAGTCATGGCAAATGAGAATTACATGTACATGTGTAGAATATCACCTATATCCAGCCTACGGACCAAGCACTGACACAAACAGGCTTGCACATGTATGGGACAATGCAACACCTACAGTCAGACATACCATACACTGTACAATCATGCAAGTAACAGTTTCACACCTTGTCCAGAAGCCTCCAGCCACAGTCCCTGTTCACAGACGGACTCCCATCACGAATAAACATAGCTTCACGGATACGACGATTGACAATGGATGGCTGGGTGGCGAGAATTGAAGCGTTGGTGACGGGTGCTGCAACGTCAGTGTGATGTGGGTGGTGATGTGCGTAATGCTCTCCCCATGGTGTGTCCACTGCCTGTGCCCTTGCCTCTCTACAATGCTCTTCAAAACGCTTACGAACAGTTCTTTCCGTCTCACCAACATACTCCTCCGCACACACTGAGCACAACATTGAGTAAATGACATCCTGAGACACACTTTTACCAACGTGAATACCGGCATAACAGGCACGACACTCAACAGGCCTTCCTCGTTGTTTCTTCTTCTTCTTCCGGTACACTTCTCTTGGGCACTCAGGGCGAGACAACGACGACGACGACAACATATCCTTTAGCGAACGACCGGACTGGAACACTACACGTACGTCTTTACTGAACGAACGTACGGTACGGCGAACATCACGAGCCAAACGTCCATTTACGAATGGCACCTTGAGGATGGCTGTGGGTGTGTGCTGTCGGCGTGGTCTGCGTGGGTTGCTGGCGTTGTGTTTGGCTGTGCTAATGGCGTGCTGTGGATAGTTGTTATCGTTCAGGAGCAATTCTATGTTCTTCTCTCCTCTGACTTTGCCGGCATCTGTTGAGGAGTTCCTGTGGGCGCGTCTGAATTGCTCCTGAGCGACTGACGTCTTCACCTGCAACGGTAACGATGACGTGTATGACAGGTGTACACCACTATGACTTCACAAACAAACGAGGCCGTGATGGAGTTGTTGGCGGCACACCACGCTGAAGTCGATATGTTCTGTTTGTCTTCGTCGGAGGTTCGAGAGCTCCTTTCGTTTGTGCTGCACTCCAATCATATCGAGTTTAATCGTGTTGGGTATAGACAGCGGAAGGGATTGGCAATAGGCAACCATTCGGCACCCCCGATGGTGATCATATTCATGTCCAGGTAGGAGTCAGAGGCATTGTCGGTTTTCCTATGGAAACCACATCTGTATCGACGGTACATTGACGACTGTGTAGTGTTATGGTGTCATGGTATCGTCAGGTTAATGGAGTTCGTTAAGTTCATGAGCAGCAGGCATCCGCACATCAAGTTCACCGTTGAGCACACACAGCAGGACGACACACACACACACACCATCAGCTACCTGGACTTGTCCTTATCTGTTTGCAATGGTGTTGTGGAGTGGGAGTTGTTTGTGAAGCTGTTACTTGCATGATTGTGCGGTGTATGCACTGTAGTGTATGTGTTGCATTGTCCCCTACATGTGCAAGCCTGTTTGTGTCAGTGCTTGGTCCGTAGGATGGATGTAGGTGTTATTCTACACATGTACATGTAATTCTCAGTTGCCATGACTTGTTCTAACTGTAGGTAGGTACACAATGTATCACTCTGTCTTCACATCTGTCTTCACATCTGTCCACTGAGATTCTATTCTATTGAAGCCCCCCCCCCCCCAACACAAACACACCTTACCGCTGAGACATATACCACCTACACTTACCTCCTTCATATTCTTCAACTAACATATTCACACCAATGTTATGTTAACTTTCTCAGTGTCAATAGTTGTTGTCTTCATACATGTAGTTCAATAAGTACCTATGCAATGGATGTTTTGTCATTCATTACTCTAATTTCAGAAATTTTCGGTGCTCAATATTTTCGGTATGAGGGCAAAAGGCCAGGTTTGGTGAACAGAAATTTTCGGTACAGAGAAACAGTTCCCTATTGGATTATGTGTGTTAGTGTTTGTTCGGTGTATAGAAATTTTAGGTATGAAACAGATGCACCGAAAGTACCGAAAATAAAAGTACAGTGAAAATAGCACATTAGAGCTTGCGGTAATGTAGGTTAACACATTGCACAAGCCACCACTTCACACGCGCTCCAGCGGCTTCCAAAGAGCCCGCAGATCCCACGCTTTTCATTGATGCATGTCAAGTAACACGCACATGCACGCTGCGGTGGCATGTAACATGCGTACGCCGGAACTCACCTGAACTCGCCAGCCAACAAGCCATATGCGGCTGCAGCACACATCGGAGCTTGAACCCGTAACGCATACACCATACTTCGCGCTGGCCACATTGCTACTTCATATTTGCTTTGCTTGCGCCGTGAGAAGAACACCGGTTTGTTCCTTTCTCACCCACCCACCTCTTCCCATCTATGAATAATATTGATATCCTTGATTCAACACAGGTATCATAATTCATACAAGACGAAAATAAATAGGAGTGCTGGGCCAGCTATCTCCTCTCATCTGGCAATTATCACGGCCTTCGGCCATCACACTCATACTCCCACACTCCTGCCTCCTAACGGGCATTGCACTTCGTGCGTGGGCCGTCCACACTCCGTCCATTTCATGGGCGCCCATCTCATGGGCTGCACTTTGTGCGTGGACATACATACACACTATCATACAGGCTGTCCACACTCCGCCCAGTTCATGGGTGCCCATTTCATGGGCTGCACCTCGTGCGTGGACTATCCTACATGATTATCACATGCCAGATTCGGTTGCCCAGCACTCCATGAATCCTCCATATGATGTGTGCTCTCCATTGGTCTGCAATAGCGAGTGCATGCGTGTTAATTTGAAAATTTGTGAAATTACAGTACCCTGATGATGGGCCCGGCCTGAAAATGTGGTGTAATGGTAATTTAAATTTTGGTTTGAATCGCAGTGAAGAAACCGTTCTTGGAGTTGAGAAGTGAAGTTTAAACCAGTAATGTTAACGAAAAACGACTACACCATAGCTCAGCGGTTAGAGCATCGCTGGCTACAAGCGAAGGTCCCTGGTTCGAGTCCTGGTGGTGGCAGTCATTTTTTTCTTCAGACTTTTCCCGTTTGTCTCTTTCCCTCAAACCAGTTGAAAAATTAATAGTAACGATTTAACGAATTTAAACAATTCGTTAACATTTTAAGTCGTTATGTACAAGACAATGGGTGCTTTCGATAACACGTTTACACAATTCTAGATCTGGGTTTTGTACTTCTCGAATGACCAGAATTTACGGATTGCGGCCATGTAACCGAACGACTGGATTTCACAACGCATTTTATTCATGTTCTGTCAAAAACAAAATTGGTCGTAAAAAGAGATCACGTACACCCGCGCGCGGACAGGGACCCAGCATCGCGCACCGGTCCGTCCTGGTGAAGGCTTCATGTCGGCAAAAATATTGGGCTTCGATAAAGCTGAATGCGTGTGCGAAAGGACCACCCAAAATGATCTGATAATACTAATAATCTGCTCCCAGCGGAAACTCAACAGCGGCAATTAGCTTTTCGGGAAGACAAAAGTAGCAACTACATGCAGTTGTAGCCCTGCTTTCGTGTCACGCCGGCCAGGGAGGCTCTTTGCGCGCTTGAGTCATCCAGAGCTTTGTCGGTTTGTGATGTGCGCTCTGATTTCTGAGCAAATTGCGTCCACAAGTAGAAACTAGAACACGATGTGCCTCCACTGGAAGGCCAAAAGACCAACAAATTATGTACTATTGAGGTAGGTGGCATGCGGGTACGAAGAAATGTTATGTACTAACAGGGTTAAACCGGTTTATGTACTAACGAATTATGTGCTAACCGACCAAATTTGTATGGAAGTGACCACGTTTCGTCCGGGACTTGAAATTTCTTATGTACTAACGGGGTTTATGTACTAACCGGACTTGTATTAACGGGTGACGACCTGTAGCATGTTTTGTCTACTGTGAGACCATAGCAGGCATGTCACTGAGAACCCAGACAACTGGAAACAGGTTTGAATTGAGGATTGCCTGGGGCCAAGGTGCGCTGTACCGCATGTCACTGATCCAAAGTCAAATCCAAGCATTGATGACACCCCGATTTTAAGGTCAGTTAACTCGAGCAATAGGTCACACAGATTTGAAGGTCGCACCCCTTTCTTTGAGATGTGGGGCTTATTGCGAAAATAACGCAACCTATGTCCAGGAAAATATGGTATGCTGAATTATACTGATAAACAAACTGCTTAGATGTAACGTTGGGCATTCTTGCCAGTTCCTGCTTGACGCATTTATTGTTTGCCTGCTTGTTGTTTCAGAAAATGGTTCCCAGCCACCATCGGGCAACGACTATGCTGGACAAGTCTGATAGGGATCAGAATGATGCAAGAGGAAAGGTGAGCTACACAGTCATACACATATACACACATGCACTTGTTTTTTTTCTATTGTGAGACGGCTTTCCCTGGTGATGGAAATCGATTTTAAAAGAAATTTTGTATTTACATTCACTTTATTCTCTTTGTTTTTTTAGTGATGTCCGCCTCACTAATACTATTCATCGCTTTAATAAAGTTATTGTCTCCTCGTTGCTGCGCACATACGTACCCAGTGCTACTACCCACACACTCGCACACACATACACACACACAAACTAATATGCACAGAGATGTGGTCATGATATGCCCTATGTAAGGTACAAGATTTGTGCTTAATCAATGCCCTTGACAAAGTTGACATGTGCACTATGTCCCTCTCTACTAATTTTGTGTGTGTGTGTATGTGTATGTATGTGTGTGTGTGCGCGTGTGTGTGTGTGTTTTTAGGATGTGGTCCTGCGACAAATGTACCCGCCAATCATGCAAAACTGTTCCTGGACAAAGGCCGCGCCGTTCAAGGAGGAGAGGTTTGCCAGAACGCCAAGCGAGTCCATTGCAAACTGCTTCTCACCGCAGCTGGCCGATGTCAGAATACGTGACATGCGCCGCAGTCTGCGTCAGTCTAGGAAACACAAGGGTGAGAGCTGCTGTCAATGCATTTCTTTCAAACGCACTCTCGCTCGTACACTGGCATATGCAAACACGCGTACACACAATTTCCATCTAGCCCTAAATGGATAAGTAGTGAGTGATTTTCAGCTATGAAGTCATGAACGTTTGCAAGCCTACTTGTAACTAGAAGCTAACCTGCAAAGGGCAGCTTTTGGCCATGCAGCATGCGTTATTGCCATCAATACTATGCCAACTGTGTGCTTGGCATCCTGTTTCCTGTGTTCAGAAAGCCATACTCACAGCCATTTTGAATGCATTCCGTTGGCTTTATGCCCGCAAGCTCTTGTCACTGCCTGTTCTCCGCATTCAGAGCCGTTTTACGGCAAACACGACGTGTTGAAGCGCTTTCTGCCACCGCTACCAGCGCCATACCCACCAGGCTACCACCGCACACAGGTAGGTCTATGTATGCACTGTGTGCGCATAGTGAAGTGGGTTGTCTCTACCAGTTGATACACTGAGCGATCTACATTGCACGTGTTTGGAATTTCAGGATGTGCCGTTAATAAGTGTTAAAAGGAAGATCGTGTTTAGTACCATTGGACACAAATCTCAGGAGTGCTGAAATTGATGTTTGTTTTTCATATGTATGTACAGCGGAGACTAGATTATAACGACACTCCTTCGGGAGAGAACGAAATGTGACTATATTCGATCAGTCGCTAAACCCGATCTTCGCAAAGGACTTACTAAACGACTTGGGCAACAGAATTGTGTCGCTAAACTCAATCTGTCGTTATATGCAAGGTCGTTATATCCGATCTCCACTGTAACTGCATCTGGGGGCCCGAGCCCATCCTGTCCCTGTGTGTTGGTTTTGAATTTATAATGGTTGTCAAGCCAGTTGTGTGTGTACTGCACATTGCAAAACTGTGGTATGTAGCAGCAGAAACGTAATTTGAGTACTGCTCTAATTGATAGATCAGTGGCAGACTTGACTGGGTCTTATGTTGCCACTGATAGTACTATCTAGCTTGGGTAGAATGCTAGAAGTGAGGTTCTGCCACACGGTAAAACGTACCAAAACATGTATGGAAACCTCGCCGCGGTACGGGTTCAAGTTTCACACTGATTTTTTCATACTGTTTTCCGTGTGTGCGCTTCACAAGGACTGGTCTCCGTATGAAAACTGAGAGGACAGAGTACATATGGCGGGGTGTTTGAGCATGCTACGCATAGCAGAACTGGCGCAACGTACGAATAATCCGTGTCGAACTTCACTGCAGTTGACACGGAGTTTGGTACGTAGTCCCGTGTAGCAGGAACTCACTAGTGTTGGCTTGCGCACGGGTACGCACTCATCCATATACTTGTCTCCTTTGATCTTGCCATCACAACCTCGCATAAAAAAGTGAGTAAGATGTCACGATCGGACTGCCTGTCAAAAATGCACATGGGAGATAAGCCACAATTGCGATGAGCCGGAACAAGTACTTTGAAATATGTGTACTTATATTGTGAAAATATGAAAATTAATATGCTCATTATGGGTGCTGACAAGGAAATAGTGTTAACGTTATCTCATCTCTACTGTAGAGACGCCAGTCAAAGTCAACAAGAGCACATGCCAGCCCACCGATGTCACCGGCTGAACAACGCAGGGCCAGGACACACATGGACCAGTGGGAGACGCAACGAGACGGCGTGCCAACTGACTCGGATATCGAGGTATGTAAACAGTTCATGCTGGAGTGATCGCAGAGACTACAGTCCATTCACCAAACCTGGGCCCGTAGGTTTTGCACAGTCTCACTTCATTTATGTTAAGTAAAAAAAGTAAATTATCGGGTCCGTTCCCGAAGGGAACTCACCCGGTAAACCCTACCGGCAAGTTGGGGGTGAGTGAATAAGTCTCTCAACCACTGGCACAAGTGCTGAGAAACCCCATTAGCCGCATCCATGTACCCCTTGTGCCTGGCCACAAGTTCCCAGATGACTGTGGGTAGCAGCACGACTGGAAATACCGCTCCCAGGCAGGATTTGAACCAGGTACCTCTCGACCTCAATCATGGTCTTTGACCAGCCCACTGTGCCTGCCTGGTTTTTTCAAGATCGTGAAGTCAACACGGATGGCTTTGGTGCTATACGAGCTCATCAAATATAGTATTATCACATAGTGTATCAGGGTCCCTATTTTGGTGACTGGACTGTACTTGCACCCGGTTCCACCCAGAGTTTTTAAATGGCAACTGTGCATGGAGTGTACATTATGGTGATGGCATGCCTAAGGATGCAGAAAGACAGGCGTCACACATAAAACATGGTCACCATATGGGCCAGTGCATGCAATACCGTGTCTAAGGGCAAATTTTTGGAAATTTTTTTCTTTCTTGAAAATCAATTACAGGGGTCTAGAGAACACCTCTGTGGAAGATAAAGTTGGATTTCACATTTGAAAGTACATAGAGACCATGATTTCTATGGCATTGTCCAAAATAGAATATGCCTTGTATAATGCATTATCTACAGTGTCGTTGAAAGCAGCAACAGTTTTGCGTGTCAGCCTTTAGTATTGGCCAAGACATTCAATGAAGGCTGCCTTGTTCTCCAGTGAAAACTGGGCAACATTGTCCAGCAAGTTCTTGCGGCGTTGAGCTAACAAGAACTCGCGTTCTTTTTGTGCAAAGACAACATGGTCACGGAGTGGTTCCGTTGCAGAATTCTTTTCATCCTATGCACGAGGAGAACGAATATCGTCCCAGAGCAGCCCACACTTGTTGCACACATCCATCCGTCACGTCGTGAACTCCATGGACTTGTACATGTACTTCTTAGTCTACAGATACAAAATATACGGTAACCCAGGGTTTGCGCTTCACAAGACTGCTCGACATGTCCCGAAAGGGCAAACTTGTAGGCGACAGATATAGGTAAGTTTATGGGAGATTCCTCACCTCTCCCTCTTGCTGCAGCAGACAGCAGGAGACTGAACACTAACCTGTAGTTCAGAATAAACTGCTGCGCTCTGTCTCCCACTTCTGCACTATATTTAATCCAAGGCACATTGCCAGATTTCCATGTGCACCAGGGTGACAGCTATTGTTCTCCTTTTCCACGTGCACACAGTCATGTTCTGCCAACCACAATCATCATGATAATGGAGCTGCATAAACGCGGTTCCACACACGATGTATCCCATCACAGTTTATCCAAACGTGATGCGCGTCCGTTCCCTTGCGGAAGCTGTCGACTGATGCGGGACAGTCGACAGGATCGTCATGAGTGCATCGCACGCAGCACACCAATAAAATGCCGAGGTCCTTCGATTTCATCGCCGAGATTTAGTCGTCGTAATGGAGGATTGCGCTCGGCGTGAAGCTGCTGATTAGGCAGTTCCAAACGCAGCCACAGCCTTCGAGGATCAGTGAGTCCACAGCGGCAATGCTCTGAAGCGCGTCCTGCTCATCGTCGCTCCACAGAATCTCCGCCTAATTCATCCGCTCTCGACTCGCCTTCAACCTCAACGCAGGAGTCTTTCACTCCCGGACGCTTAGCTGAGGCTTCGTCAGAGTTACTGTGAGCATGCCGTACAGCTGCTAGTTGCCGATTGCTCCGACCCACGACTCGCCAAATAAATTGTCGTCTTCCTCCTCGATAGTAAACCTTGCCGATCTCTACGGACGCACCGACGATAATCACGCGAGCGGTGCAGCTCAACTGACGTGCTGTTCGGCGTCTGCCGCGAGTGTGTCTACTCAGAGGCCCTTCCTCAAGTGCTACTTCCAACTCCTCCTGCGCCGCCACGTCCATGATGATTGCTGCAAGTCGATTGCTTGTCGCTTCTCTTGTCGTCTTGAGATCGATTAGGAATGACAAGATCCGCGATCGAGCCACAAAAAAAATATAACACTTCTTTCCGAGCGATTTTCTCAAAATTCTGAAAGAAATCGGTTACCCCCGAAGACACGTTTTCGCATGCACTGGCCCATATGTCGAACGGGGAAGTGTAGAGTATCGACATTTACTGTGAGTAGCCAGCAACAACACCGTAGCATGTATTACCTTCTACACATAAGAAAGAAAAAGAAAAAATCGCGGCTGGAGGCCGAATTTTCCGCATCCGCTGGGATGCCACCGCCCTCAAAGATCAAGGCGCAGATGAAGCTCCTGAGGCGGTGGGAGGTAAGTAGATCAGACCCACCGCTAAGTGGTCAAAGACCAAAAATCCCATTCGCTGCATCCATGCTTCCCTCGTGCCAGGCCGCGAGTTCCCAATTACCTGTGGGTCGCCGCACGGCTGGAAAAAATCCTTCTCTTTCCAAGCAGGACTTGAGCCTAGTACCCTCTGTTTCTCTGTTTCTCAATCATGGTCTTAGACCATCCCACTATGCCTGCCTGCTGCACATAAAGGAATGAAAAATAGAGTGCAATATATCGTAGCAAGAATAGACAACCCTTTGGACAAGTTCAAGAATTCTCTCTAGTTGTGGCAATTTATGTGCTGTTCACTCCACTGTGGGATTCTGGTTCTGTTTCAGAAATGAGCTCATGACTTTCACACCTCTGTTTTATTCTGAATGTGGAAATACTTTGCCTGTAGAAGCTATGCAGTAGTACAAATAATATTGACTGCAGCATCAGTGAGTCTGTAGGTTAGAATTTCTGATTGCTTCAGATTGTCTGTGCTTGCCGTATTTCCGGAATATAAGCCTCACTTTGAAGCTCGAGGTTCACCCATAAAAAGTAGAAGTGGCTTATACCACGACGATCAAATAAACCGTGGAATACAGGCTAGATGTCTGTATTTCATTAAAAAATCTGGCTGCAGCTTATGATCAGGAAAATATGGCACATTTCTGGTGTGGTAACTGTTTCTTCAGTATGTGACCACTTGGCTATTGTTCCTGTCACTGTGCTTTTCCAGAGGTACAGCTTCTACCTGGAGCGTGGAGTCAGCGTTAACGATGTGGAGCCTCTGGCCAGGGAGTTCTTCGACTCCATCCTGCGCCAGGAGCCGATCAAGAGTGCATACGAGGAGGTGGAGGATCCGGCCAGAGCCTACATGTACCGCAGCGGTGCGCTGGTCGCAAAGAACTACGTTGTGCGCCAGCTGATGTCCGAGGTGGAGAAAGACTACAACAAGGCAATGCGGAAAGTCATCGGTGAGTTTGACGGCAGCGAGTGCATGGCATGATGTTGAGTGTTCCGTGTGTTCTCCTTCTGTATATGGTATACCTGTATGTTGTTATGGAGAGCTAGTGGGTGACAATTTTCAGTAAGGTGCATTTGTAAGAATGTATCGTTATCATTATCATTATTTATTATTTGGGTTACTGTTCAGTAAAGGCCTTTCACACTCTGCAACTAAATCAGGATAAGATATAACTCTGCTCGGAGCAGTCCACAGAAAATGTCGCATGCACTCATAAGTATTGTATGAGGCTCTCGTTTCTCAAGACTTCTTGCATTACCCTTGAACCAAGATATCAAGTGACCATTCAACTCGCACTTGTCTTCCACCCGTACGTACGTGGTTTGGGTTTCTAGTGTCTCGGATACAGCCTTTATCCATCCCGGAACCGGTGTGTACTGGGTCTTAGAGTGCATGCTCTTATCCATACTCACCATTCACAAGTAAAACCTGTCAATGTTACCACTCGAATAAGGCGACCACCTGTCCTAAAAGACCACTGCGTACAGGACCAAGAGATGCTTTTTCCAGTCAAATGACCCTGCCTGAGGAGACCACCTGGTAGCAGAGACCATGTTTTGAAGGTCCCTTGAGCTGTCGTCTTAGACTGCAGGTTTGACTGTACTTCAGTACCCTGGTCACATTACCAACGTGTTGTTTGACTACGCCTGTAATCTATGTTTTAATGTTGTTCCGTTGCCAGTAAAGCCTGCAGAAGAGGTAACCCATCACTTCTAACACCGTAACCCAGCATACATACACATAGTGACCAGACACAAAATAATAAGAATTGATCGGCCTGTTTCAATCCTTTGTGTAGATCTTGTGTACGTTTTGACCAGCGTAGAAAGACCATCTTCGTACAGGTCTAATGTATATTTCACTCTCGGCAGTGGTGGTTCCTCAATACAGACTCATTGCATATCACTTATATCCATGAGATCAGTCACTACCCGGAGTTCCTTGCAAAGGTGAAAAACAGTTAACCCAGCCATCTATCGGACTATTTATTTTGCAAGAATCTCTGAGTAGAATGTAAGTGGCGGCATTGGACCATTCCGTGCATGTGTCATGGATGGCTCTGCACTTGTGCAGTGAGCGCTGTGCTGGCACAGTTGCAATATACTTTTAACGTACCTGATGAATAACTGCTGATTATGCATAACCGCTTATCACACAAGGAGGACAACAGAGACCAATAGATTTCTTGTGACTCCGAGTTTCGTGTTCAAAAACACTGGTCAGACGAACGTACGCTCTGCCCTTGTTAGGGTATTGAGCACTAGTTTGCTGTAAGGACCTCGGACACTTTGTGTAACTGCTTTTTAGGAATACGTGCTCGAACTATGCATTGTGTGTCAGGCGTTTATGTTGCTTATATCCATCCCCGTTTGAGCAGACATCCGCAACTCGACACCGGCCTATGATCTAGTCGAGACGGGAGCTGCAGTACACGTATGATGGTAAATTGATAAACAAGTGATCTGTGGCATTTGCTGCTTATCGATAATGACTGATTATTTATCATCGCGGTGCATATAGTTATACTCGTAGACATGCTGCAAACTCGCAACAGTATAGTGGTATTCCAAGTTTTATAACCTCTCTTTGATCTGCTAAACATCTAATTGGAAAATGACACAGAAGAGGAGCATTGAAGCACTGTGTGATATTGATATATCACATGTATGCCTATGGTTGTGCATTGTATTAGCAGTGATAGGTAGATGGCCTGCCTTCACCCATTGCTGGTGGCTTCATTTTGCTGCTTGTCCAGATGGTTTCAGGTGAAGTACGGAGGTTGAGATACCAAATACAAGTAGTGTATTCTATTTAGTCTACTTTACATGTAGCTACGTTCAACACGGTTGAGATGAGTTTAAGGCGCCATCCAACATGTTATCGGAGTCATGATGACAATTTACGGCAACTACGGCATGCCTGCAATGGGCTTATCTCTGTGTCTAGCCTATCCTGTGTTGGTGTCGTGAGAAAGGCCAGTGGCATCTTCAATCTTGCCTGCACTAATCTAGTCTCAGTGGCTGTCCTGCGTGGGTGGGTGGAAAATTCATCACTAGCGGTATTCTGCTGCTGAATCACTGCTGTCCGAGTGTGAGTGTGGTTTTACCTTGTGTTTACCTGTCTTGTTGTCATAGTCGACTACATCCTGATGGACGTTGAGGAGAGAAAGCGCTTGCGTATCGTCTACACCCCTGTTGCATACCTATGCAAGTGAGTACATTTGTGTGCAGTGATTTGAACTCGGATGGTGAGCTGATTTAATTATGGTAAAAAAGGAGAAGGACAAAACGTTACGAGTTATGACGAACTGTCCACCAACGTAACCAGATCATATACAGTCTGTTGGGGTGCGAAAGAATGGTACACAACTGACTAGGAGTACTGAGACATTCAGCGACATGTGCAGTGAACACACCACAATTCCAGTATACGTAACCAGTAGGCATCGGCACCTTCTGATCTTTAAAGCAAACATTATAGCATGCCAATGCAGGTAAGTAGAGTGCTACTCAATGAAATCCAGTAGTATCACTCAAGTACGCGCCTGAGCAGCCCTGGACCTGAGAACACTGTGCTGCGAAATGGTGCAAGGTGCACACTTGAGTGACAAGACTGGATTTCATTGAGGAACACTGTATGTGCAGCGAACACACCACAGTGGCATGCCTAACAAGTAGGCACCAACACCCAGCACCTGCAAGTCTTGAAAATGATTACCCCTGACCTGGTTTTCTGCCGTAACGGCTTTTTTTTTTAATGCAACCCACTACCTTCTCTGCAGCTATTGATAGGCAAGCTGCTAAGGGGTCTAATTTATACGAAAGAGAAAGACCAAGGAACTAGAAGTTACGCTATACTGTCCACTAACACCACTAGTTACTAAACAATCAGCTCATGCGATAACATTGTACGACACTGACCGACGGTACTGACGTTCTACAACTAACTGGCTAACAGCTCTAGCACACCTTGGATGCGCACTCCAACAGCCTTCCAACTTGGAAGGTTCTAAGATATAGAAATAACATAAGGAGGGGAAGATGAGCGCAACCAAGATAAGCACGAGCTGAAAGTCTCAGCTGTGAAGGCGAAACGATCGTCGTGTGAAACTGCTGCTTGTTACCGCTGCTTATTGTCCATCTAAATTGTCATAGTCGAAGTACAGTGCTGTTTTACTGAGGCGTTCGGTTTTTCATGATTTTTCGCATAGCTTCCCCTTTTATTGATCTTTGCATCTTTTGAGCCACACAAGTTGTGTGGAATGTTGCTTTGCGTTCTTGAATCGTGGTTTGACCGTATTGTCCAATGGTCTTGCCAGTATCGTCATCGACATCCATGAACATCCGCCAACGTCCTTCACAGCTGAGACTTTCAGCTCGTGCTTATCTTGGTTGCACTCACCTTCCCCTCCTTATGTTATTTCTATAACTTAGAACCTTCCAAGTTGGAAGGCTGTTGGAGTGCGCATCCAAGATGTGCTAGAGCTGTTAGCCAGTTAGTTGTAGAACGTCAGTACCGTCGGTCAGTGTCGTGCAATGTTATCGCATGAGCTGATTTTTTAGTAACTGGTGGAGTTAGTGGACAGTATAGCGTAACTTGTAGTTCCTTGGTCTTTCTCTTTTGTATAAATTAAACCTTGGCTCTCCATCTGAGTCCACTAAGGGGTGTCTGTGAACATAATCAGGTATCTGAGATGTATGAGACCGGCTCTGCGATCACTTTTAGTACGCACTGCCAGCATTGGTCGAAATCGGCCTGCCGGCGCCTAAAGGTTAAAATTCCTTTTCTACTTGTGCAGAGTGTTTCCGTCAGATCTTCGGAAACTGGGATCGCTAAATATTTCATCGTGAATTGGTCCAGATTCAGAAAACACTAAAAGTATTACCCGCTAAAATTAGCCGTTTTGCAGTGGCTCTCCTCTGCCCTTACTGCCTGTGGGTATTCGCTACCCGTACTAGTGTTTCCTCATGTTGTTGACCGTGTGCCTTTCTCTGCAGAGTGTTCCGCGGCCCGTTTCCATGGCATGGCGGCATGCGCACTAAGAAGCAGGAGCTGCACCACGTCTATCTCCATAGCAACAACATCATTCGCACCATCAACAACATCTGGAACGATAAGTACGATGGGGCCTGGGAGCATGGAGCCGAATCTTTGCTTTGATTCTTTTCAGAACATCTAAACTCACTTTTCAGGAGGTTGAAAGTCATTTGAGTCAGAGACGTATTTGGTCAGAATGACATCATAATGATAATTATCATGGTTAGAGTGACATCATGATGACATCATGATGAGACAGAGACATGTTGGCCACACTGAATTATAATGACAGCATGGTTAGAGTGAGCTGATATGAGACACACATATTGGTCATAATGACATCATGTTCACCAATTCTTATGCCACAGGTACAGTCAGCTGAGCTTCATCTACCCGGATGAGCTTTACCCGCCGATGTCCACAGTGAATGTGACTGACTTGGTGGAGGACGAGGATGGCGTTATACATTCTGTAGACAACCTGCTCACGACGGACAGCGGTGGTGATTTGTTGGTGCGCAGTGACGCGCCGTTCCTGCCTGGATTTGAGACGCTGGTGCAGCGAATGTGTGACAAGACACGTACAATCCTCTGTGATCAGTAAGTCACTGTAGCCATGTGCAGTCAGGAGACAGTATTCACTGAATCCATAGCATTCTTGTTATATCGTCATCATGCTTCATCCTTGGTAAGATGTGAACACTCACTCCCCTGCAGCCTATTCATAAAAAAAATGCTCCAATAAGTACCACAGGTCTAGGGCGCGTTTGGTTGGTACGAACTAGAACAGGATTCACCAGAACAGCGCGTTTGGTTGGGACTGCACCTGTTCTGGGTCGGCCAGAACATGTTCTGCTTGCTCCCGCCTCGAGGCCGGAGCAGACCGAGCAGTTTCACTTTTTCAAAGTGAAACCTGGCGGGAACATCGATTTTGTTCCCAAATGATCACGTGCATACGCTTTTGGGTTGGACTCGTCGTACCGTACAAAGTGACCATGGTGATCCATACACATTTTGAAGAATGCACCAAGTTTGGCACATTTTTCCACAAAAATGTGCTCTGTTTCTGGAGTAGCGTTTGGTTGGCATGAGGCTGCTCCATGTGCACCAGCTGTTCGATCCTGTTCTAGATCGTACCAACCAAACGCACCCCTATACTTCGAATACAAAGTAAAATGAAATTGTCCATCATAATTTCCACCTTGGGTCGTCACCTGGAAGGCTTATCCTGTTAAATATGGATGATTGATTCTACACACTATCCCGGATCTGTATCATGACATCTAAATGATGATTGTATACATATTTCATTAAAAGATATCCAGGTGCCGGGGATGAGAAGTGGTATGGACAGTACTGTAGTGACTTTGATGTGTTCAACCGCACTAGTCAAAATACTGTGTACATATCAAAAGAATCTCTTATGGTACGTTCAACGCTCAGCACAGACCACGATTTTTTTTCTCTGAACGTCCTGTGTATGCTTCTTCACTCCGCCACTCAGGTGGATCAAAGATTGTTCGCAAGTGTTCCACACGTATGCAGAGGAGTGGGAGCAGTTCGTGCCCTCGCAGGCCGATGGAGACCGTGAGATGCTCTACCGTTTCTTCTGGTGCGTCGAAAGCATGATGTCTGCTCAGTTGCGAAGCGTGGTTCAGCGCTCGCTTGACCAGCTCGTCACATTCTTCGAGAAATATGCGGTAAGAACTAAGCCAATGCTCTTACTTTTGCAATATTCAATGTGGGTAAGTTTGAAATCCTTAGAAGTCAATAAAAGAATTAGGAACATTGCTACTGAAGAAGACCCTGTTGTAGGGAAGATATCTGACCTTCTCCTTTTCTTGACCGATCATACCTCCCCCCCTCCCTTCTATCTCTCTCTCTCTCTCTCTCTCTCTCTCTCTCTCTCTCACTCTCTCTACTTCTTTCCTTGTCGTCTGCTCAGTCTTTTTCCTCACTCTGTAGTAGACCTTGGCGTGGTGGATAGTATATTGCTATCTTGTTCGCGGCGGTTCGGGAAACGTTGCATATCTGTTTGATTGTGGTATACCGCTTTTGTCGTTGACTTTTGCTCTTTGTTCCTCTTGCCGTTATCTATGGTATTTGGTCTTCCTGTCTCGTCTGATCCCCAGGCCAGCAATGGCTATGATGAGGAGTATGATACACATGCGTACACGCTGCCAGAGGTGAGTCAGCCATTGCCCTACTCAGTGGCCGCTGTAGGAGATGGCTCCGCTGGGTAGAGTCCACAAGAGCAGCAAATGTACCTCCCGTGACCCCAGCATAGAACTGTGAATACATGTATATAGACATGTGTTCTGTCTGTCTGATCATCTACACACCGGATGCAGTCTACAAGCCTTCAGAACACGATCAATGTGCAGTGTTTGTCGGTCTTTGATGCAGCACATGTGAAAAGGGAGCTTAGCTGCATCTTACTGAAACGGAGAAAAACTCACTTGAAGTTTGAACTTGCCATCACTTGTGGCTAAAAACACGCGTACGAAAAACGGCCACCACGGCGTAATTTGTCACATCTGGGTGTTTTATGCGAAAGCTTGAAGGCTGTAACTACCACAAGGACGTGATAACTTCCAAACCTCAAATCCTGAACCTCAGCACTGTTTTCATGTGCTCTGCACCACTTTCCCTTACCATAGTCACCGGACAGCTCTTTGTGTGTGTCAGGTCTGCAGCCCGGCTCAATTCACACGTCCGCCATGTTGCTTTTGGTGCATAATTTTCCAGTGGGTGGTCAGGTTTCACTGGCCCGGATAGTGTGGTAATAAGTCCGGCTCAATGATGAAATTGATGGTATTCTACAAACACGTGGCATTTTAACCCTTTGAGGACTACCCAAAACCACCTGGATTCCTACCATTTTCAGGCGAAAAATCGGTATTTTCAAAAATTGATCTAGTGTCATCAAATTTGGTTCTAAAGAGACATAGACATCAGTAGGCAACAAAAACCAAAGTTTCTATATCATATATCTATTATAGAGGTCAGAATTGTCAATTCAAAATAGGTGTAAATATCGATATCGCAATTTTCTCAAAAACGGATATACAGTCAACTTCGCGAATAACGACATTCGGCGGGGCATCAGAAAAGTGTCCTTATTCGCGAAGTGTCCTTATAACGGAAGTCCCATTTGAATGTATGTGAACCCATATTTTGTATAGTATGACACGCATGTCAAAATCAAGCTCTTTTCTTGCTCTATGTCAATGTATTTAAACAATCGACGAGGAGACAATAGTCGTAAAATGGCAATAAATAAGATAAATTGTGCACTCATAACAGCAAAAATGAAGAAAGTCAAGTTCCATAACGTTTTCTTGTGACTGTCATCAGTGGAACGCCGTCACATAAAAATGTAATAACTAAAACACACACTTATATGTAGCTAATATGGTTTCGGGTAGAAATACAGCAGGTAGAAATACAGCAGCTAACAAGTACAAAAAGCGAAGTTTGCACCTTTGCAATGTGTGAATATAGTGTATGTGAGAAAGGTAGTGGCAGATGAATGTGATACTGTGTGAATGAATGTAATGGTGCGTGTGTATTACTTGAAGAGTGTGAGTGATACAACGTTTTCTTTCTGATGACAGTCACAAGAAAACGTTATGGAACTTGACTTTCTTCATTTTTGCTGTTGTTATGAGTGCACAATTTATCTTATTCATTGCCATTTTACGACTATGTCAATGTGTACTTTATTTTCATATTGCAGTTGAAAGGAACTAAAAATTCAATTTGCAAGGGAAATAAATTGAAAAATATGCCTTTTTGAGCCATCTACAGGGCCAGGGACATGTACATGTACATGTATGATGATTACTGTACAATCATGTACAACTACATGTACATGCATGATAGAATCCAACCCTGGTAAACCAGCATTAGATAAACCTTGTTGTAGTTCACGCAAATGTTAGATTGACAGCATGAAACAAGTGGAGGACACTGTGTTCGAAAACAGTGACCTTACAACAACCTTCCGCGGTTGGCAGAGCCCCGGTCCCTGCTGTACCCATATGGTTCAAATGGTCCGCAGGGACCGGGGCTCTGCCAAGTGCCATCCGCGAAAGATTGTAGTAAGGTCACTGTTTTCGAACACAGTGTCCTCCACCTTGTTTCATGCTGTCAATCTAACAATGTACATGCATGTAGGTGTGCTGGTAAATCCAACACTTTTGAAGCAAAATAAAAAAGGAAGAAAAAGCCCCCCCCCCCCTTGGCTGCATTTTCTTTTCTTTATCCATCACCATAGTATAGGTTCTGGTACTTCTGCATGACAGGTACATGTACCTTTACATGTACTTGACTGACAGGTACTTGAAATAGCTGTCCAAAGCCCAGAAAGTCGTTATTCAAGCAGTGAATATGACCTCGGGGGCACTAAAAGCATGTCGCTATTCGCGAATTGTCGTTATTCAGATAGTCGTTATATCCGAAGTTGAATGTATACAGTTAGATGGGACTTTGCTCCGGGCATGGAAATTCGGTCGTTATTTGCAAATTGTCGTTATATCCGCAGTCGTTATTAGCGAAGTTGACTGTACTCGTCTTTAGGAATCCAGCTATACCTTAAAAAACGAATATATTCGTCCTTCGTTCTCAAAGTGTTAATATGCTGAAGCGGGTGGGTGCAGGGATTTTGTGTCCACTTCTGACCGATGTGTAAAGTCCTGCTGCTGTTGACCAGTTGTGTCGACAGCTGAGGGTTCGTTTTTGCCATTCCCACGTCATAAGGCTCTAAACAGATGGGATTTTTTTCTTTTTGAAGTGGTACCGTAAAAAGATAAGATAACTCTGGCATCTGCTGCGTCTGCGTTTTTCTCATCTACAGGTGGTGAAAGTAGCTATCAAGTGGAAGGTTGCCATGGTGAAGGTCGACCCTTCATTCGATGATCTCGTCGAGGTGCTCAGCAATCGTATTGTCGATCATATTGTCAACGCCGCAGACAATATCGGAAGGGTAAGCGTTCACGAGACATGAATTCATGTACATCATCAGAGTGTTATCACTGGATATTGCCATTGCTAACCACTGGTTATGCTAATCTGTGTTGTTATGTGGTGTGCTTAACGGGTAGAGCAGAAAGTAGGTACTGTCCTGGAGACAAGGGATGCTAAGCAGCAGCAGCAGCACTGCTGCATCTTGCAATCCCTACTGCTTCTGTACTGATTATATTCCTTGCCCCACGATCGTAATCTCTCCATTCATGCATCTGCGGGTGTCTTTAACCTTTTGAGCACGAAGCTACCTGAATGCCTCCCCACGGCAACACCTGCAAAAGTGGCGTTTTTCCTATGAAAGTACTACCTGTTCAAGGATCGATAACTTTACCTTCCCTTGGACGAATTCCACGATCTTGAGCTTCCTGGAAAGGTCTTGAGACGAGGAGCACACTAGTTCCAAACTCAGCTCGGAGCGAAACTAAACGCCCATGCTACAGTCTGGCAAACTTCACCCACGCGCTCGACAGACTTGAGCACGGGCAAGAGACCAAATCCTCAGCTGCCATTTCGCCCTCCTTGCTCGTATCGAGCTGAAATTTTTTTTGAGAACTCCCGAGATCCGCCACCATCATTTGAATCTAGTTTCCATGGCAGCAGGTAGCGCAAAAATGATCGAAAATGATCGAAAATGCAAAATACGCGTTCTGCAGATCGCGCAAAAAATTCTCTTTGAATTTGCCGTGTCGAGTCGCATATCTCAACAACCCGGGGTCGTATCGCTTCGGCGATTGTTTCTATCGCAAGCTGGGAGTTTTCTCTTCCAGATACATACTTCGATCGTGAGAATCGACCAAGAATTGGCTGAGTTACGATAGTTTGAACGCACGCGATCCAGACAAATCGCGTATATGCGCGATGTACACTCAGGACGTAATATTACGTCCTCCGTGGTGCAGTGGTATTCTGAATGACGTATTATTACGTCCTTCGTGCTGAACAGGTTAAAATAACTTTCAAACCAACTTTATATTCTGTTGAGCATCAGCCTCCTGATGATTGCGCAAAGCATGAAACTCGAGTAGACATGGATTTTTTTCCTCTTGCTGTTTGTACTTTAAAGCAGTATATTGATGTAATCATGTATCCATATGCTCCTCTTTGCTTGTAGGTGGAAACAGTGCTCTTCAAGGATACTGATGTGTCGACCCCACCGGTACACACAATACGACGTTGGGAGACTCCGGTTGTCATCGCCAAAGAGAGAATAGCGGAGATTGTACGCACTAACAAGGCTGGACCTGAGAAGTAAGACTGGAGATACGTTCCATGCATACAAAAAATGCAAAGTTTAAAGTAGAGTGGGTTGATAGGAGTTGTTCAATTGCTTCATGCGGAAATGTGTAGATAGGTTTGAACTTTTTGGCCAATACTGTGATTTTGTTTTTTCTTGTGTGCATGGGTGTGTGCATTCATGCTTGGGGGGTGTATGCATACGTGGATGTATGTGTGTGTGTGGGGGGGAGGGGGGGGGGGTGCACCTGTGTATGCACCTCTGTTTGTGGATGTGTGTGTGTGTTCGTTTGTATGCCTATATGCGTGTGCGCTTGCACACACTCAAATGTGCACGCATATCTGATATCATTAATTTTGTGTTGGTATTGTGCCCGCGTGCATGTGACTATATCTATGTATTAGGTATGTGGAGGTGGTCTATGACAAATACAAAACCCTCTTTACAGGACAGGTGCTCAACGAGGCTGAGGAGTTTCTCAAGGAGGACCAGCAGCTGCTCAAGTTCAGAGCTGTGAGTATTCTACAGATGTTATCCGCTGGACTGTTTCCATACATCTGGCATGGTTAGATGTCAAAGTTGGATTTTGCCTGTGTCGGCTGAGTACAGCAGTGGTGGTCTGCGGAAGCGAAGGCTATAGCTTGTGTGTTTCTGGACATTCAAGTGATGCTAACGAGGATCCCGCGAATATTATTACTTCAAAGTATTATTATTACAGCATTGATACATGTACAGAAATGTTAAGCCAAACCAATTGTCAGCCGACTTGCAATCGGGTTCGGTTGCCTAATTTACATCGGCCTTCATCGGGTTTGCAGAAGGCTACAGATGAACTCTTTTTGAGTTCATTGTGAGCTATATCATAACTGTCACCTGTAAGCCCTACGTTTACACTTCACCCATGATCAATTGTGCATTCAAACCTTCAAAAGAGCACCATGGATTGATATCAATAACTACAAATGTTCTACATCAGCAGTCAAAGTGCCATGCAGATGCGCGTGTACGCACATGGAAGACACTGAGAATGCACTTCTCTTGTTCCTGTGAAAGGCATCTTAAAATAATACTACCTCCGACAAGCGAAACTTGGCGCGTTTTTTACTTCAAATTGCTAGAAACGAGAGAGCTTGGAAGCTCAGGGCCCTACGCTATGCTTTTTTGCCTTGATGACCTAGACAAAAAAAAAGCATAGGGATGTTATAAATTCTTTAAAAAAATCCTTTTTTTTAAGACATAACCTGGGATTCGAACCCGCACTATCGCGCGCCCTGCATGCATCCCCCAATACACTTCGCATACATACTAATTCTTCCAAGTTGTTTCACATTGTGATCTTGCATTTGAAAGCCCTATTTGAATATGCATTGTGGCCAGCCGTCTTTGATGGCACGGTACGGTAGGGGATAGGTACGGGACAGGTACGATCGAGGGTAATACGACACCGTCTCCCGTACCGTACCGTACCATCAAACACAGCTGGCCACATACAGCTGCCTGCAATATTCAAATAGGGCTTTCAAACGCAAGATCATAACGAGAAGCAACTTGGAAGAATGGGTATGAATGCGAAGTGTATGGGGGAATGCATGTAGGGCGATAGTGCGGGTTCGAATCCCAGGATATGCCTGAAAAAATAGGAGAATTGAAAAATTTATAACATCCTATGCTTTTTTGCCGTCAGATACGGATAGCGCCAGGCGTGACACAAACAAACACACAAACAAATACCAAATTAAAGCTGTGTGGACCCTGGCTAGCGCCAGACGTTACTGAAGTAACGTCTTCTGCATAGCTACGGGAATAACTCACACTTTACAATCAAAACTAATGATAGACTCACCGAAATTCAACTAACTTTGTATTGCTCAACAAGGACATTAGAGACATCTGTTCGGCTGAATCACTCTCCTCTGATTCAGAGATCGCAGTTTCGTCTGGAGAGGAATTGTTCCTGTTTTGAGACCAAAGTGCGACTAGAGCGGATTCAGTTGCAGCAAGTACCTCTGTTGTAATCACTCTAAAAATCTCGATGTCGCTCCTGTGTGCTGTGCTCGAGCCACGGTGTCGAGGGTAGTCGTTTCCGCCGCCACTATCCAGGTTGACGTGGTAAGAACTGTGCAACAACTCCACAAGCGCCTGGACTCCAACTGTTTTGGCAGGGTATTCTCGCCAACTGTCCAAAATTGCCTGCAGGAATTCCTGGCAATTTTCCTTAGCCACCAGAGACGCATCGCTCTGGTGGCTATTGAAAGACGCTAATGATTGTTTGGCATGGACGTATGGACTCTGTGCTGGTGGAGTGACCAAGTGGAGAGAGAGAGAACTCCTTGGTTTTCCATTGCAACGCGAAAGCACGACGATTCGCCTTCGCAGAATGGACGCGCGCACTGTTTTGCTGGTACACCAGAGACTGGCTTGCCTCTGACTAAGTCTGAGCCATGTGCCACTCACCAGCTCGTCGTTTGGCTTCCTGCACCCGGTTGCATGGAGCTACAAGTAGGTCGTACCTCACAGCCTTGTGAAGTTGTGGTACCAACACAAAAGACGCGCCAAGTTTCGCTTGTCGGAGGTAGTATTATACCAGGATTACGTGACTTCATGCAATACATGATTATGAACACACAACTTTTTGAGTTTGAACCCGGCTCGTGGAACAATTCCATTGGCTCTCGGTTTCTGCTTTACTGTGTGATTTGCAGATGGTTGACAAATACAAAGCGCTGAGTACTGAGATCGCTGACATTCGCGTCAAAGCACCATTCAATCTGGTGCTTCTAGATGCCACGGATATGAATTTGCAGCTGTTGTCTCTCGCTAATGATATTTCTCAGAAGCTGGTGTCGTTCATTGTCAAGCGAAACTACGAGTTCAATCGCGGGTAAGTGGTATTATGTGTGTGTGTGGGGGGGGGGGGGGAGGAGGGGTATGTGTGTGTGTGTGTGTGTGTGTGTGTGTTTGTGTGTGTGTGTGTGTGTGTATGTGTGTGTGGGGGGGGGGGGGGGTGCGTGCGTGTCGGTGTTGGTGTGTGTGTGTGTGTGTGTGTGTGGTGTGTGTGGTGTGTGTGGTGTGTGTGGTGTGTGTGGTGTGTGTGTATGTGTGTGTGTGTGTGTGTGTGTGTGTGTGTGTGTGTGTGTGTGTGTGTGTGTGTGTGTGTGTGTGTGTTGGTATGTGTGTGTTTGTGTGTGTGTGTGTGTGTGTGCGTGCGTGCGTGTGTGTGTGTGTGTGTGTGTGTGTGTATGTGTATGTGTGTGTGTGTGTGTGTGTGTGTGTGTGTGTGTGTGTGCCATTCGAAGTTCTGTTTCCCGTGACTCAAACACTGTCGATCCTTTCAGAGCCTGCCATCATCTGCGGATGGGCATTGTTGTATTGTGATAATTATAATTGTATTATTTTGTGTGTAAATGTGTGGTTGTGTGTTTGCACGTGCATGGATATGCATGTGCGTGTGAGTGTATGTGTGCATGTATGTATGTGTGTGTCTGTGTGTATATCCTGTGCAGTGTGTGTGATCGCTATGAGGAAATCTCACTGAAGTGCATTAAAGAATGTCAGACAACAGCTGATGTTGTTGCACTTACAGAATACTTGGCTGAGGTGAGATTTTATTGTTGCCTTTTCTTTTAAAACTTTAACTGTCGGGGAAATGAACTTGAATTTGACGTTTTACTTTCAAACTTGAACTACTTTTAGTTTCAAATATTCATCAGCGGTCATCCTTGAATATCACCCCGTGTGTACACCTTTCCCCTCCCCTAGAGGCTCTCATGTTCGGCTAGATACCTTTTGCAAAATTGATTAACCCTTTCCATGCCAGCATGTTTTCCTGTGTTGGCCACGCATTGTTCAGGCGCTGAGCTCAACTGTTCAAAGCTGCACGCGCACCTCAGAACGAAATTTATTGCTATTTCACTGTACCTTGATGGATTTTCACGTTCCATGGCTTGTTGGAAAGATCTGGACAACAGGAAGCCATTTCAGGGACTCACAGCGCGACAGGCATACCAGGGCCACTTCCATCTCCTCTCAAAGTCCCCCTACCATGCCTGAAAATAACAAAACGACTGCCTCTCATGTTTTCTTTCGTCTTCTTGCTCATTGTGAACTGATTTTCACGATTCAAACTGCGTTGGAAAGCTGAGATTCAAGCGCGTTTGTTGCAGCTGACTGCGCACGCGCTGTGTCTAGGGGAAATCCCCTAGCCCGCACGAAGTCGCGAACAAAAAATATGAATCGATCGCCAAAAAATGAGATTTGCTCATTCTGGCCGTT